TTTTTTTTTTTTTTTGTCATAGTCACACCGAATTTAGTTTTTCATCACGAGGGTTGTTTTTGTATTTGTTGCGTAGTGCGCGACAATGCCTTCTTAGCGTTGTCTGTTGCCACGCAGGACACGGATGCAGCCTACCTGAATAAAGCAGAGCTGGAAGCCAAACTCGACGGACTGTCTGATGAGCTTGACTTCCTGAGGCAGATCTTTGATGCCGTAATGAACTGACCTTCAGCAGTATACTGATGATCTGCATCTTAAGTGTCACGTTGTTATGTGTGTAAAAAAACTTATCTTTGAGCAGGAAATCCATGAGCTACAGAGTCAGATCAAGGACATATCCGTTGTGGTGGAGATGGACAACAGCCGTAACCTCGACATGGATGCCATCGTTGCTGAAGTGCGCGCCCAGTATGAAGACATTGCTAATCGAAGCAGAGCTGAGGCTGAATCATGGTACCAAAACAAGGTAACACACCTTATGACAGGAAAGTCTACAGAAAATAGAAACCAAGACAATACCCTTTTGGCCAAAGTCATTTTATCCACAAATAAGAACTAATCACTCTTCCGTCCTGGTGTTCTGTATAAAAAAATGAATTATAAACACCTGATACAGTCAATTTGACTCACCCATACATGCTGCATTTCCTTGCGTATAGTATGCCGATTTGCAGCAGACTGCTGGGAAATGCGGCGAAGATCTGAAGTTAACCAAGGCGGAGATTGCTGACATGAACCGCAGAATAATGAGGCTCCAGTCCGAAATCGACATGGTTAAAGCGCAGGTGAGGTTTTGATCAGTAGATACCAAGAATCAATGTCCATCAAAAATTCTGCAAAATGTTCAAATTTTGTTTTGTTGCCAAACCCTACTCACCACTCATTCACTCAAGAGTAGAGATCATGAAAACAACCAACGATCAAATTTCGCGCTTCATTTACCAGATAAAAAATTTAGAGGCCCAGATCGCCGAGGTTGAGGAGCGCGGAGAGCTGGCAGTGAAGGATGCCCAACTCCGCATCAGAGAGCTGGAGGAGGCTCTTCAGAGGGCCAAGCAGGACATGGCCCTGCAGGTCCGCCAATACCAGGAACTGATGAACATCAAGCTTGCACTGGACATTGAGATCGCCACCTACAGGAAACTTCTGGAGGGAGAAGAAGACAGGTATGATGATGAGTTTGTGATTCAACCATGTTGTTGTGATTTATTGATTTTCAGCAGCAAAAACATAAAGTCACAGATGATGATTCATAGCTAAGAAGAAATTGTTGAAACAGTCAAGCAAAAACATGCCGTTCAATTTAGATTTCAAAACATTTCATGACATCGGTTCTTTGAGTTTTAAGTCGTTCTGTAGCAGAATTTCTCAAGGTCGATGTGTCTCTTTCTAGGTTGGCAACAGGAATCAAGACCAATGTGTCCAAGATGAC